TGGCTATCTAACCCACTTACAAAACATCGAATCATAGCATTGATTCTTCATTGGACTGGCTCTGAAAGAGCTGTCTAACCAATGGTTACCCGGTGTTGCAAACAATGTTATTGTGACGAAAATACACTTCCTGGATACAAGTACATGAATGAACTGAGAAAAGATTACCGGATACACATGCCTGACGAGCGGCAAGAACCGCGAAACCGGTCGTATGTTTCCAGGGAAATTTTGTCCAGTCATTCACAAACTACTTCTCATATAACAATAGACTTTTATTTTAGATAGGGTCACCAGTTCTATTCACTATACTTATCAGGCCGTTCTGTCAATGAAATAACGCGATCCGCAGAATACGAAGTGCTTACCATCAGCAGGTGTCATCACTGCATCATGAAGAAGTGTTGCGCAGGCTCCTCCGATGAGCGGGGCTAGTGAAGAAAATCTGCGACTGGTCTCCACCGAATGTTTAACATGCTCGTAACAGCCAAAATAAGCCGCATGCGCCGGACCAGCACCTCCGACCATAGTTCCTATCCCACGCAACGAGCCTCGGACGCCCTCGGCTCGAACAAGGCGAATGAGGCCACTAATCACGTTGGGGTAGCATGGGCTGTTTAGGGGCCGCAAGCACTGCATGCGAGTCTGACGAGAAAAAGCTATAGAGACATTAGGTATGCATTACTTTAACACTGTCGACCGGGTACATAATAATATGTTCCATTATTCCGGCAACTGCACCAGCCATCATATGTGCCCGGATGGAACTGCTGCTCGGAAGTGCTTCATAGTCCGGAGGTTCATCCTGAAACGGAAAACATAGAGAATGGTGCACAAGTTTATAAAAAAGGGAAACAGCTTTATTTTTGCAACGAGTATCTTTGCTAGTTATAAATATATATAATTCAAATCTTAGCTTTCATCCTGCTGTTCAACACCAGAGTTAATACAATCGCTTATTTCTCCTGCCAGAAAAAAGCTTGGTTTATTTGTTTGGGTAACTAGTCGCTCTTCTTTTACTTATTAGGAGATATATCAATGGCGTATAGAATAATTACTTTACAAACTTAACGGAAGGTAATAGTGTTTTTTAATATTTTATTACATATTAGATCCGTCTAGGAATGTTTGGATTAACCACAACGAGAGAAAACCAAAAAACAATTCGGTTGACGACGTTTCGACCCTCTTGGAAGGCCCTTTTCAAGTCAATTAACCAGCGAACATTAAACATATTTTGTGTGGTGAACAACAGACAAGTGGCGTAGACAAGGTATTCAGTGATGGAAACCTAATCCCGGGACTTGGTGTGACGAACCACATAAAGCCTCACTAGGTTTCTCCTCTGCAGACTCTTCCATCCTTCACCAGCGCAGACGTAAATAAAGCACGGTTGCTGACCAGACATTCTTAGCACAGTCAGGCCATAGGAGATGCTCCTGTAATAATGTTTTCTTATAAGGATGATTGGAAGAACTTAACATTTTCGTACACCATCGACGCGTATAGGTCATTTCCACTAAACGTGAGGGATGTTACGAAGACAACTCCTTGGACGATATCGTAAACAGGCAAACTAAAGAAAAATGGTGAAACAGAGCATTCTGGAAGTAGTTAATCGGAGACGAAAAAAGGAAATGAGCATACCATAAACCATTCTTTGAAATGCAGTCATGACCTGCGCTTTGTTTCTCTCATTCCCGATCTGAAATTTTTGGGGGAACCAGTAGAGAATAAGCTTCAACGAAATCGAGACTAAGCCCATCCGCTGTGATTACTGCAACCAACTTTTGTAAGTGGGTACATCAATTAACCGCCCTCAGTCAGAGGGAATGCTATCTGTCATCCAAACTTCTTGGACAAGGTTCCCCCTATAAATGCATTTTACTCGTATTGAAAAACAGTTAGCAACTGGAGGTTAAATGGTATGGACCACTGAACAGGATATTCTACAGCAGCGAACAAAAAATGATCAACCGAATGTGGCAGGCAACGAGTCGGTTTGTGGATCGGCATGCTGTCTATCTCACATTGTTTAACCTATATATATCAGATCGCTGGGTTTCCGTTACACGAAAGAGATAAAAATACTTCTGGGGGCATTTCCTGACTCCACCTCTGTGCAACTACCAAAAATCACGGTCTTCCTTCAGGTGTGCATTTAGTTACGCCTCAGGGTAATACGTGCTGACTTATACTGGCTGTCGGACCGAGTTTCAGTTTCAGTTTTTACAACCATTAACCATGCACTTTCGTGCGCCGGTTTTGGATGCTGTCTTTTGGTTGCCCATTTGGATAAAAGAGCGAAATGAAGATTGGAATGCCGAAACAAATTCAAGCGGAAGATGGGGAATACATATAGAGTGGTGTTAGAAAAATAACGAGTGGATGCACGAGCGCCACTGTTTGCGACACCCAGCCATATCACTCAGTGTAGCTAACCATCGGTGACCAT